TGAGTTATTGTCGCAAAGAATAACCATAACAATCACAAAAGTGACGAATGGGATAAATTACCAATATTCTTAGTTTTATTATTAACTTTCCGAAGGAGAAGTTTGTTTTCATTAAAAAATTCGATTCGCTAATTTTATGTTTTCTCGACGTTTCAAACCATTTTGAGTCAAATGAGACCAAATTTGCAAAAGAACAGATTTTTCATATTAAATCGACGTTTTCTCAAAAATGGCTGAACCGATTTTAAAAATTCAAAATTCATTCGATGTATCTCAATGAAGACTATGGTTTGTCAGTTTTGCGCGACGATAGGCCAAGACGTTTCCTTGTAAATCGAAGAAAAGTGAAAAAAATTTCGTCCACGTTTAAGCCCGCAATTCTAAATCGATTTTAAAAATTCAAAAACCGTTCTAAAGATATTGGATTGCACAATTTCTTGTAATTAACTGTTAAGAAAAAAATTAAAATATCATTTAAAATTTCATCAAAGTTCAACAAAATATCATAGTTAAATTTTGTCTCAAAAATTGCTTTTGTGATGTGATAAGTCAAACATTGTCAATTCAGTGAAATGTGGAATAATAAACTACAATTTTAGGACATACAAGCACGTGCCTGTGCAATATAATTAATATAATTACAGATAATTTAAATGTGAAAATTCAATTGGAAATCGTAGTGTTGAGATTTTTAATTGAAAGCGAAAACTTGATTTGAAATATGAAACAGTTGAAAGTTTGATCTCAATATCTAAATCCGAATTTCTATTGATTAAGTCAATTTTTACACTTACCGGAAAGTTCCTGCAACTTGCCTCAAGGCAAAATGCCACTTTCAACTAGTTCAATTTTTTTGGATCTCCGAAACCGTTGGACCTTAGCAAAAATTAGTTCTTCATTTCGTCAATACAAATAAAATGTTTTTTGAATGATTCAAATCGGACGCTTTTCTAAAGAACTAAAATGCCATTATTGCAGCTATTGTCTCGTATTTTCGAAACGGCTGGACCTGCCTTTGCCTAAAACTAATCAGCACGGCCCAGTTTGTCAACCGATTACTTTTTAACTTCCCGTAGGATAAGTTATTGTAATGGGCCGAAAATCGGAATTGAAAATTTTTACATTTCTCGACGTTTTGAAGGTTTCTGAACATTTTGGCATACCTCAGAAAAAATGGATGTGTGTGTGTGTGTGTATGTATGTATGGATACAATTTTTCGTCCACGTTTTCGGGCGTACGGATCAACCGATTTGAATGGTTCCTATTTGATTTCTATTGATAAGGAGATGTGCTGATTAGTTTTTGGCAAAGGCAGGTCTAGCAGTTACGGAGATAAAGAGCAAAGAGTGCAGAAAATAGAAATCGAGTTTTTGAGAGAACGGAGCATCCGATTTGATCGATCTAAAAAACATCCAATTAGTAATGATTGGGAGAAGTGTTTATTAGTTTTTGGCAAAGGCAGGCTCAGCCATTTTGAAGATACGGAGCTAAATGTGCAAAAAATGGCAGTTTTTGAGAGAACTAAGCGTCCGATTTAATTGATTCAAAGAACTTTCTGCTTGTCTTAACAAAATAATTGATTTTGGAAAAAAAATTGTTTTAACTTTTTTTTCTAAATTTTTTGTATATCGAAAATAATTCAGATTTAATTTTTAATTCTGACTATATTTGTACTATACTTTACAAATAATTTCAACTTTGCAATTCAGTTTATATAATTCTTATAAATATTAGACAGTGTTACAATATTTATAATAATCTATTTGAAAATATTCAGTATTCCTCGAACATTTCGTTACGGTACGGAAAGTTCCAGCAATTTGCCTTAAGGCACGATGCCACCCACCCCACTAGTTGAATTATTCAGATCGGTTGATTCGCGCTTCTGAAATTGTCCACGAAAATTTGTATTGAAACACGCATACATATACATCATGTTCAGAACACTTTAAAACGTAAAGATATATAAAATTAGTATATAATAAAAAAAAAGTTTTTTGATCAAGCTTACAATTTACTCTAAAAGAAGTAATTGCATTAATGGAGCAAACAATCTTATATCCACTACCCCCTAAATCACTTGACTCCGCATATATTTAATGTGTAATGATGAGGGTATCACCCACCGCATGAGTCGTGTAGATCGTTGCCTGTTGGACGGACACGCGTCACGCGGGAATGAACAAAGGGGTAGAGGTGCCGCCAATCACATCTTCGTTTCTATTAAAAACGATGATGTATTTGTTCGCTCCTTGAACGCAAGGGTAGACCGCGCCGTCTTCGCATAGCTGCGATAGTTGCGCAGATACACTTCTACCCGCCCATCTCTTTCGTACTCATGTTGCACCGTCGTAGGTACATTAATTTATATACTTCGAAGAAAGAAGAAACTTTTTCGCGGCTATCTCAAAATGATACTAGTAGTGTATTACATCGTGCTTAAGGCAAATTGCTGGAACTTATTGTATAGCCCAGTCATTTGGTGCAAAAAAAATGCTGTTGCCTAAAGAGTTTTCCGAAAGTTTTGAAAATTGGTGATTTTATAGATTTTGATGTGATCTTTACGAATTTCAACTTTGCCACCTCGAATTTTTGCCGCCGCCGCTGCTATATTGGGAAAATGGCGTCAAAAATCAGTTTTTCAACGATATCTCCTATCTGACTCATGTTACCTTAAAATAACTATATACAATAATTAAGCTAAACTCGGGTATTGTTTGTTCCGAGTAATTTTAATACTTTAAACTAATTTTAAACATTCTAATTGATTTTTTTGGTTTAATAAAATACGATTTGAAAAAACTTAGAACATCTATCGAATTTTTACATAGACGTGTCCTTTGTTTACGAATCAAAATTTCCTGAAATAGAAAATACTCTCATACTTGCGACTAAATTATGCTTAATTGTTTTTAAAGCCTGATATGATAATTCTAAGTTTTTTGTTCTTTAATTTGTGGCTTCTAGGGTTTAAAACTCTTTTTTTTAAGTTTGAGAAGGAAGTTCTTCAAGAAGAAGTCACACTGATTTAAATTAGGTATAAAAATCTAAATTTATATATACAAAACTTTTCTGGGAAAACCATTACAGACTAATAAGATATCAAATGCTACTGAACCGATATGATTTCAAGAATCAAAACTCTTTCAACTATCTTTTATATTTGGCTATATTTCTCATTTTCCATTTATACAGTGAAAACCGACTTTAAAATGTTTAAAATGTTCAATCATCAGCAAAAATAAAAATGAAAAACAAAAATAATTAATTTGTTATTTCTAGGCCAGACTTGAGCAGAAAAGCTTAATTCAACATTGAAATTTTTGATTTGTTAGAGAGAATGCGTTCAAGTGCAAAGAGCGGCCAAATATTCGAAGGTGGCGCGAGCAGCAGAAACTTTGCGGCGCACGTACGCTAAAACTATTGATGTTACAGAAAAAAACGTGATTGAATAAGTTATAGCAAATTTTGTCTAGTTTAATTTTGTATATAGTTATTTTAATGTAACATGAGTCAGAAAGGAGATATCGTTGAAAAACTGATTTTTGACGCCATTTTTCCAATATAGCGGCGACAGCGGCAAAAATTCGAGGTTGCAAAGTTGAAATTCGTAAAGATCACGTCAAAATCTATAAAATCACAAATTTTCAAAACTACCGCAAAACTCTTTAGGTAAAACTACTAAATGACTGAACTAGTAACGGAATTTGAAATTTTTAAAAGCTTTAAAATTTTTTGAAAACTCAGATTGAAAAAAATAAGCTTAGATAGAAAAAATACTATTTTTAAGAATTTTCAAATTTTTGATCTTTTTTTTTTATTTGATTTTTTCTTAATTTTAAATTTCTTGAAAATTTATTTTTCCAAGCAATCACGCTGCATAAGTGTATTGATGAAATATCGAAGATAAAATAACGTTGGTACGGAACCCATAAAAATCTAAACAAAATTTGTACTTATATCTAATAACAAAAATTTGAACAGCTCTTCATTCCGATAATACAAGTAAAATGTTTCTTGAATTATTCAAATCGGGCACTAAGATCTCTCAAAAACTGAATTACCATTTTTGGCACTTCTTCCTACGTATCTTCGTAACGGCTGAACCTGCCTTGGCCAAAAACTAATCAGCACGTCTTCCCATCAATGGGAATTCAAATCGGTTGATTTGTGCGCCCGAAACGAGGACGAAAAATTATATCCGCACTCGGCCGATTTCTTGTAAGTCCTATGATTGGGGCCAGCAGTGGCGATATCGGTTAGAGCGTATGCTAGCACCAACTAGTCCCAGGTTCGCTTGTTCGATTCCCGCTACCGCCAAGTCTGACATGAGGCAACTTTGATGTCAAATTTCCACAATTACGGGTTATAGGTCACAATATAATTCCAAGTGGAAATTATCCTTCGTGGACATAGTTGCATCATTCAATCATATGTAAATTATTAGACGTAAGAGCTACAGCGATTTCCAACCTGTGGGGCGCGCCCCCCTGGTGGGGCGCGGTGCCGTCCCAGGGGGGGCGCGAAGCTCTATCAAAAATATGGTTGTTAAATGCTGAGTAAGTGTCAAAAACAAATCAGCAAAATGTATGCAAGTTATCTACAATTTTCGCTGCAATTTTGTCAGGACAAATGTAAAAGCATGAATATACTATACTTTTGGTGCATTCAAAATATTTCGTTTTTGCGTTTGTAGTTGAGTGAGCTGTAGGCTTATAAACAAAAGATAAACACTCGGATCATATCGAATATTCACGTGCTTACTCGAGACTAACTTAAGTAAATAAACAAATGCATCCTTTTTATTCTGTTATCTATAAATCGAATTAGTTCATTAGTTGTGCTGGAGATACACGCGTTCATATATAGAAAAAATCATTTCTAAATTATTATTGAGTTAAAATTTATAGCTTTAGTTTTAGCACATTATTAGCCAGGAATTATTGTGAAAAGTAGTGAAAAAGTGATTTTCTTTGATTTGTTATAAAAACCGTTTGTAATGGATAAATACGTGACTGGGTTGAAAAGAAAATTTAAAGAAGCAGAAGAAGAGGGTGGTGAAAATAATGGAAATGTTTCTTCACAAAATAGTAAAACTAAACATAGAAAATATGATCCAATGTACTTATCATTGGGATTTACGTATAAGATCATTAATGGTCAAGAACGACCAATGTGTTTGCTGTGTATGAATACTTTGGCCTCAGATAGCATGAAACCAAGTAAATTAAAACGACATCTGGAAAAAGTGCACGCCGATCATGTTGGCAAAACAAAAGAATTTTTCCAAAGAAAATTAGATAACTTAAATAAACAGAAAGAATCGTTTTCAAAAGCTTTGTCTGTATCACAAAAAGCGTTACTTGCGTCATACAAAGTTTCGTATAGAATTGCTAAATGCAAAAAACCCCATTCAATAGGAGAAACTTTAGTACTACCAGCAGCTATTGACATAATAGCTACGATGTTTGGTGAATCATATGCTGATCAAATTAAAAGCATTCCGCTGGCAGATAATACGGTGGGAAGACGGATATCAGATATATCTGATGATCTTTGCGATCAGTTGATAGAAAAAATTAAATTATCTTCTTTCGCGTTGCAAGTAGATGAGGCTACCGATGTTGCTAAGGATGCACACTTAATAACATATATAAGATATGTTATGGAAAATGATATTAGAGAAGAGTTGTTATTCTGTAAGGCAATTGAAGGCAAAGCTACAGCGAGTGAAATTTTTAATATGATTGATAACTTTTTTATTGAAAATGGTATTTTATGGGAGAACTGTGTTGGACTGTGCACTGATGGAGCTCCATCTATGGCAGGAAAAAATGCTGGTCTGCAGGCCCTAGTTCGAAAAGTGGCTCCTCGTGCAGTTTGGACGCATTGTATGATTCATAGGCAATCTCTTGTTGCAAGAAATATGGGTGAAGAATTACTTGAAGTATTTGAAATTATAATAAAAGTTGTTAATTTTATCAAAAATAGTCCATTAAGAGAAAGGCTTTTTGGAAAATTGTGTGATGACATGGGCTCAGAATACAAAGCACTACTTTATTATTGTGAAGCATGTTGGCTTTCTCGTGCTAAAGTACTTCAAAGGGTGTTTGAGCTCAAAAAAGAAATTGCCATTTTTCTTGCTGATAATAAAAGAGATGAAGCAGACATATTTTATGACACGAAGTTTCTCGCAAAATTTGCGTATCTAGTTGACATCTTTAAAAGACTAAGTGATTTAAATAAATCAATGCAAGGAACTCAAATTCATGCTTTTGTTCAAAAGGACAAGATTACGGCGTTTATGAAAAAAATAGAGCTGTGGATAGCTAGTATGAAAAGTAATAACTTTGATATGTTTCCTTCTTTTAAAACTACATGTGTTAATGATGATGAAATAGAAGCAAGTAAAGATCTTATTATCAATCATATGACTAGTTTAAGGAACCAATTTGCGCATTACTTCAAAGATCTAGATATCTCCAAATACGAATGGATTAGAAATCCATTTGTTATTGATAAATATGATAATTTTGGACTTCCAACGGCAGAGCAGGAAATGATAATTGATTTATCTAGTGATAGCACATTGAAGCAGATGTTTCAGGACGAAAAGAATATTGTTAAGTTTTGGTTACAAGTAAAGGACGATTTTCCAACTTTGACAAATAAAGCCTTAGAAATTTTATTACCATTTGTGACATCCTACTTATGTGAAACTGGTTTTTCTGCAGTAGCAGTATTAAAAACAAAGTACCGATCTCGTTTAGTGATAGAAAAGGAACTGAGAACAGCGATTTCTACAATGGAGCCGCGGTTTGAGAAAATTTGTGCTGAAAAACAAGCTCAACCGTCGCATTAATTTTTTAATATTGTGTGAAATATTATATCATTTGTTTTTATTAAATTTAAAATTATTTTTTTCCTATAATCCATAGTTATGTTTGTATGTATATTTTTGTATGTATATTTTTGTATGTTTATGTTTGTATGTATGTATATTGTGCATTATTTGGTACGAGATTAAATAAATCATAATTTCAATTAAGTATATTTAAATTAAATTGTTAAAAAAATTAGGGGGGGGGGCGCAATATTTTTTTCTTTCAAAAGGGGGGCGCAAGGAAAAAAAGGTTGGAAACCGCTGAGCTAATATGTAAATCCCACACATATGAGAATGGTCAACCGATAAGTTGCCTCTCATAATAATATCTTAGGTCATAAGTCTTGAACAAAGCAGCTTATAGAACATATAAAGTAAGAGTTCTGATTACTGTTGAAACAATAAAAAAAAGTCCTATGACAAGTCGTTTAATTTAAAAAAATGTAAAAATTGATTTCAAAAATTTAAAAGCCTAAAAGCCATTCCATTATACTTTGTTCGTATTTGCGTTGTTTTTTTTTATACGATTGGCTTAAAATTATCTAAAAAGTGCAAAATTATGCGGCCTTCTTTTAGCCAAAAATCTTAAAACCCTATTTTATGAAACCCATTGATTTAAAAGTAAAACCCATTGGATGTACCTCTTATTTGCAACTCAGCTCACTCATTCTACGTACAAAAAACTAAGAACAGTGCTCATTTTATAAAGCTTAGGGGGAAGTCCCGTAACGCCGGATGGCATCTAAAGCCGGACACTCTATTTAACACGTATTATTTAAGCAAGTATAAATCTTTTTATTTCAAAATACAAGCGAAAGGAGCGCGGGGGGCACACAGGTGCAGGATCACGCGCCAAGACTCACCTTTGACGCACACGGCCACGGCGGGAACAACCCTTTGTTGTTTTAGGCACAAAAACACGGCGTTACCTAAATATCAATAGAAGTAATTCTATTGTATTTATGCATTTATATTTTAGTAGCATTCAAAAATAAAAGTAGTATTTGATCGTTATCCGTAATATGATAGAATATTACTAGATATTTTAAACAATTTTAGTAGGTACCACCAAATGAACGAAACTGTTTGTCCCTTAGCACCGGACATTACTCGTAAGTTGTCCCTTAGCTCCGGAAGTAAACATATTGATTTTTCTTGTGAAAATTGACGTATTTTATTCTAATTATTTAATTTTGTTCTGTATGAGTGCTAACGGTCTCTACATATCCCCATTTTTCGTATTTTCTAGTCAAAGAATGAAAATCTTATGATGAATGCTCCAGCTGAAAGCATCGGTGTGGCCCAGCCAAAATGGTGGACAATTAGTGATTTTGTTTTGCAATATCTAAGAATATTTGTCAAACGCGACTGTGCGGACATTCCAGAGTATGGAGATGGCTACATTCTACATATGTGTTCAATGCTGGATATTTTGAAATGTCCGGTACTAGGTGTCCCTTTGTAAAATTATATTTTTTGTTACCAAAGTTTGATTGATAGTATTAATTATTGGTTAGCAAAGATTGCGTTTTTGTTAATTTAGTTTGATTTCTAACTTTGTTATCTAACATAAGTCATAATTTAATAAACATTTTGTAAAATATTTTTTGATTTATTTATATATAATCTTAGGTGTCCGGCACTCGGGACTTCCCCCTATTTCATGCACTGCAAAACTAGAAACACTAAAGACGCTAGATGGCAATAAATAAATCGTTAGAATCACAGACAAAACAAAAAATGAAATTGATCTTCAATATCTAGCTTAGTAATGCACTAACATTAAGCACTTTATAAGATAACGAGTTGCTCAGATTTTTACACGTTCCTTTTTGTTTATTAACAGCATTGCAATAAAATGAATATTTTTGGAGTTAATTGCAAGAAAAAACAATGAGAAACGTATAATAATGCGATTCATTAATTACGAACAACTTGAAAAATATTGAGTTTTTCGAGAAATCTTATAGAACATTTTTTTCTTAAAATTAGACTTTCTATCAATATCCCAAGTTCTTTGAAAAAATTTACTTCACCGGGAATGAATGTTGATGTTATAGAGTGTAGTGCGGGGCACAAAGTTCCAATTTGACTTTAAGTAATTATACTGTTCAAACTAAATGATTGAACTGCATCACTTCATATAACACACATGAAACAAACAACTATCGTACTATGTTCAGTAAAATTCCCAATTAATTCCTAATGACAGAAATGTGTTTTTTATTGGTATAGGCAGGAGCAAACAGATCTCATGCCTTATTTTTAATTTTAAAGGGATTTTACGAAATAATAGTTACAATATTCAACCAATAATGAATTTTAAAATGTGGAATACTGATAAAATTTACAGCGTTCTCAGTAATCAAAACAATGCATTTTTAAGTTTGTTTAAAAAAATACAAAAGAATGACGAGAGAGCAACGACGAAAGAATTTTAATATCCAAATTAATTTTCAGAATCCTTGGATATACTACATTACTAATGCTGAATTTACAATTGATGATGGACTCATGTTACGTAATCCATGAAAAATCGCGCTTGGTAATGAAAACATTTTGAGTAACATGATTCGTATGCAACAATACTCAATGGCAGTGGCGGTCGGTGAGTAATGAAAGCATTAGTACAATTAACTTTATAAATATTTGACTTCAAAGTATGATTTTATTCTACAATATTTCTGTCGTTCCAGTGAATAAGTGTTTTTTTCAATTTTTATTATATTGCAAGGCTTTATTTCGAAGTTCTATTACTGATGTAATATCGCGTATTTGAACTGATGGTTTAAATTTTTTATAAAGTCATTAATTTTTACTCCTAACCAATAATTTTTCAATTTAATAATAATTTTCGGAAAAATAGTTAATACTTCCAGACTTAAGGCATTTTTGCCGAAATTCGACTTAATAACTTATTCACTGGAATGACTATTTTATCAAAAGAAATATATTCAATCATCTTTTGATCACTCAATTTTGATATACTATTTTAGATATTTTAATACTTGTTATTTAAGTTATAAAGAGTCATCGTATACTCCAGGATAATTACTCAATATAAAAAAATGTTACAAAAACTCTTATAACCACTATTTTATAAAATATGTATATAATTATGAAAGATTTATAAAATATATTATAAACCTGTGATATTCAATTTAAGTAATTTTAATTATACTATTATATATTTATTGAATTATCAGATATTTCATAAATATTTTAAAAATAAGCGAGAGATTGGGGTTGCCATAACAGCTAAACTATACATATTTTGAGATAGGGTTCAAGGAGAGAGATCAAGAACGTTTGATCGAACAAGTTTCTATTCGATTATAACATGTCGTTGTGGGTCTCATCCTTTCGGGTGATGATTAAACAGATAAAAATTCAACTTAACAAAGACAAAATACGAAAGAGAAAGAGAAAGGAAAGTTTAAAGCGCCAAATTTAAAGATGATTACATAATTCATTATAATTTGAAAATAATTGTTAAGTCAACAAAAATGATAAGTAACACCGAATTTATTTCATTAACTTATTTATTTATTTATTTATTAAAAATGAAATTGATTAATTTCAAACATATCACTAAACTAGTGGGCAGTGGCGGCGCTAGACCATTCGTGGGCGTCGGCGAAATTCGTTTGCGAGGCCCCCCTTTTTTGCTAGTTGCAAGTTGCTAGTGGTACATGGCATCGTGCCTAAAGGCAAATTGCTGAAACTTTTCGTGCCGTAATTTAAATTTTTGAAAAGCTTAGAAAAAATTTGAAAAGTGAAAGAAATTGACTTTTTTTAATTTGAAATATTTTGTTGAAAATTTCGAACTTTTTTTCAGAGCAATCACGTTGCGTTAGCTGCTTAGAGACGAAATATCGAAGCGCGTAAACGCCGCGTTGCAGTCTAACTTAACTCACTATTAATTAAAATCTTTATAAAATATCTGATAATTTGATGTGCATATGCCAAATGGCTTTTGTTGTACTTTTCTACTGGATTTCCAAAACCGCTAGACCTGCCTTCCTAAAAATGTAATCAGTTTGGCACTTTTTGTCCCGTATCTTCAAAACGGCTTATCCTGCCTTTGTTAAAACCTAATCAGCACGTCTTCTTACCTTCAATACATGTCAAATGTTTTCTGAATTTTTCAAATTGGTTGATCCATGTTCGCGAAATCGTCGACGAAAATTTGCCAAAATGTTCAGAAATCTTTGAAGATATATAAAAAATTTTGTTTTAGATTTTTTTTGCGATTACTATAACTGTATAAGAGATTTATTTTTAATCAGATAAATACACCAATTGAAATAGACAAAAATTACACAAGTTAAAATATACAAACTCTTCGGCAAAAATGGTTTGTTCTCCAGCTATTAGAAAAGCACTAAAATTAAATAATTATTGCGAAAAAGTTTCCTTTTGCCCAATCATTTGATTAGCAAATTTCATGTTTTTTCAATCATTATGAATAAAAAATGGTTGGAAATCACCGACTTAATAACTAATTAGATAAAATTTTGCATTCTGCAAGTGATTAATTAGATTTAAGAAATCTATGTTCATACTAATCTGAGTGCACAAATCCCAACATAGCATAGTAGGTAGACATGGTCTAAAAGCTCGTCCCATTATTCTAAAATTTAATGACTTTTTATAATTAATCATTTATCGTAGTTCCATAAAATTTATGTTAGATGATACTAACAAGTTTTTTTTGAAAAAATATTTTTACAATAAATTACGAAGAAACTGTGCGGTCGATCTTGACGAAAAACAATTCACCACGATCGCCAACTGAAAACTTTCGATCAGTTTTTGAATTTTTAAAATTGGTTCAAAAATGTCAAAATGTCGTTTTTTAAGACGCTTTAATTTTTTGTCGACGACATCAGAGCGGATCAACCGATTTAAAGGATTTAAAAAAACATTCGAT